CCGGGCGGGCAGGTCGGTGTGTCCGGACGGCTGTGTGATCCCTTCGGGAACGGCATCTGCCTGTGTCCCCGCGCAGCGGCACCCCCGGTGGTACCCCCTGTGTCAGAGCCGGGCAGCAAATGGGCATCCCGTGTGGGAGGGATGGAAGGAGTGACATCCCTGCCGGCACACTGCTTTGGGCTCGGTGCCGGAGCCCACGTGTGTGGGCTGATACCAGCCTGGGACGTGAGCACTGCATGATAAACCTGACAGATAAAGCCAACGAGCGTCATAAACCTTTAACATGCTTTAATCATATTCTGGTAGCAGCTTGACTTCCAGATTATTTTTCCCGGTTAATTTCAACGAGCAAGTGCATAATGTGCCTCATCAACAGCTGATGTAGAGATCAATTTAGAGCAAATGTAGGGGTTTGCTCCTAATGAAGAGTAGAGGGTTTACAGCCTCTTTAAGTATGCATCTCTGCAGGGGAACAGGTTTTCAGTGAACCCTTGTTTGTGCAGGGTGTGTTGCCTAAAGTCATCTTGGAGGAAATGCTTGAATTTGCTGTGGGTCATCTGGTTCCTTTAAGATAGGAGATGATCTTTAAGGTCCTTTCCAACCCAAACCATTCTGAGATTGGAAATTTGGTGGGGAAGGGTGTTCTCTGTTTTAAGGATTGATGCACAGGCACTAATAAAGTTACTGTGGTGATTAGATGAGGCAGTTTGCATGTTTGTAGTGACAGTTATTAAGATATTCAGGGATGTATGTAATGGCAGATAACAAAACCTTGGTGTTGAGTCAGCAGGGATGTGCATACATCATCTGTGCTTCAGACCTTGGCTTTTCTCTGCTACAGGAAGCAGAGCAGAAGATGGTCTGGTGAGAGATGCATTTCAGTTTGAAGTACTGCAGACACAGCATGAAGAAATCAAACAGAAGGTTGGCAATAACATCCCCTCCCCTCTACATGTCACGTTTTTTGCTAGAACTAACTGAAAGGTGGGCTAAATTCAGCTCCAGGTATTGCATCCTAATCAAGTTGATCAGTAGTCTTTGTAATCCAGGGGTCTGTTAAAATCATTGTACTAGGAACAGCTCTAGTAATAATTGAGAGAGCAGTATGTTATTTCTTGGTCATTTCAAATGATGCTGTTTTGTCAGTTTTACTTGTTTCCTGTCAAATCAACTCTCCTCTGTCCTGTCAGCCAGTTAGCAGGAGCTGTTTTGTGCAACTTAAGTATCTGAGAAAATAAAGTGACCTTTAAGTGGCTTTATGTTACTTTACCTTCTGACGTTTTGTTATGGAAAGATGCTATGAGGAAGAAACAGATATGGAAAAGTAAGAAGGCACAAAATCCTGTACAAAGTTTCTCCATTTTTGGAAGTCAGCTTAGGAGGGAAATAAGACTTGAGCAAGTTTATGGTGATATTTTACCACAATAATCTTTTAGCCTCTGATCAAATTGCATGGAGGTACTTCCTGATCCAGAAATTTATATGTGGATTTCATATTCTATAGCATATATGTTTGTAAACACTGTGTTGGGGTTTGGATACCTTTTAGTGGGAAAGAGGTCAGCAGCTTGACTGTGTCAGGAAATTTCTTTGATTTCATTTTGAACTTAATAAGTGGATGTGTCTTGACTGTTATGAGTGAACAGTGAACAAAGAATAACTTGTGCACAGCACTTGCACCTCAGTGGACCTTTTCCTCACAGTTGTGCTTTCCCCAAGGTGGGAGGATCCTATTCTACTTCCCTTCCTCACCCTTACCTCTGTTCTCTGAATCTTTCTCAGCTCTGTTATATCCTCCTCTATCAGGGAAGCTCCTGCTTGTACACCACGTTCAGCATGGGGATAAACTATAATTTTACAGTTGTAAAGAGGTGCCTTTCTGCTTTTTTCGTCATGCTTTTCTGAGTAACTCATTTATTAGCCTCCAAAGTCTTGTCTCTGAGTGGTGATGGCAGCTCAGGAATTATTAGAGGCTAGAGTGGTGTCCCTCAGGGGTCAGTGCTGGGGCCAGTACTGTTCAGCATCTTTGTTGGTGACATGGACAGTGGACTGAGTGCACCCTCAGCAAGTTCACTGACCACACCAAGCTGTGTGGGGCTGTCACAGCTGGAGGGAAGGGATAAGCCATCCAGAGGGACCTTGACAGGTGAGTGGTGGAACAATGGAGTTCAACAAAATGAAGTGCAAGGTCCTCTATCTGGGCCATGGCAATCCCAGGCACAGCTACAGGTTGGGTGGGGAAGGAATTGAGACCAGCAATGAGGAGAAAGACTTGGGAGTGACAGTGGATGAGAAGCTCACCATGAGCTGCAGTGTGAGCTCAGCCCAGAAAGCCAATTGAATCCTGGGCTGCATCCAAAGGAGTGTGTGCAGCAGGTCAAAAGAGGTGATTCTGTCCCTCTACTCTGCTTTTGTGAGACTCCACCTGGAATACTGTGTGCAGTTCTAATGTCCATGAGAAGAACATGGAACTCTTGGAGCAAGTCCAGAGGAGGCCACGAAGTTGATGAGAGCACTGGAGCACCTCCCCTATGAGGACAGGCTGAGGGAGTTGAGGCTGTTCAGCCTGGAGAAGAGAAGGTTGTGTGGAGACCTCAGAGAACTTTTCAGTATCTGAAGGGCCTACAGGGGAGCCAGAGAAGGACTCTGTTAGGAACTGCAGTGATAGGACAAGGGGTAATGGGTTCAAACTAAAGGAGGGGAAATTTGGGCTAGATATTAGGAAAAAGTTCTTTCCTGTGAGGGTGATGAGACACTGGCACAGGTTGCCCAGGGAGGCTGTGGCTGCCCCAACCCTGGCAGTGTTCAAAGTCAGATTGGATGAAGCCTTGAGCAACCTGCTCTGGTGGGAGGTGTCCCTGCCCATGGCAGGGGATTGGGGCTGGATGATCTGTAAGGTCCATTCCAATCCCCAAAATTCTATGATTGTGGTAGGTACATTGTGCAGATACAGTCTAGGGATGGCATCTCAGGACAGAGTGCTTGTGGGGTGCTCTGCTAGATGAAATATTATAGTTAAGTTACCATTGTTATCATCCCAATAATGGCTAAATTTATTGATATGTGTGACTAGAACACTTTAAAATAATAACATAATTGCAGAGAAGGGGGAAGTAGAAGAATGGTCTCTGATAGATAGCAGGATGGTGCATGAAGATATTTTTGCTGTAATTTTTAATTCTGTTAAACAGTAGCTAAGGCTGATTTAATCAGAAAAAGGTGAGAGGCAACATTGCAGAATTTCTGAACTGGGTTACAGAAGCATTTTTCTCCCTAGAAATTAAAAATACACCTAATTTTCAACCACACAGTGAAGCAAATACATACTTTTGGCTATGTCCTCCTTTAATGGGATTCCTCTGTTGCAGCTGAAAGAAATGCAGGAAGAAATTCTCATTAAAAATGGAGAAATTAAAATTCTACGTGACTCGATGCAGCAGATGGAGTGTGCTATGGAGGAACAGAAGAGATCATACCTGCAACTGGAACAGCAGAAATCTCAGACCCTAAGTGATAAAGAAAAGGAGTTCTCCAAAAAGGTTTGTAAATATGTCAGTTGCCTGCACATGACACGCAGAAGCTGATTTTATGGCTTAATGATGTCTCAGACCATCTAGTCAGAGAAAGAATATTTGTGTGACATTTCCAGACAATGCATGCTTTGATTTTCTTATCTAGAAGGAAGCATCTTTAGGAACATGCTGAGGGTTTTCTTCTGGCTAAATAGAAGAGTAGAATTCAAGTAGTAGAGGATTTCATTTACTTAATTGCTTTTTTTTTTTAGCAACCCCAAGAACATTAAAATTGGAATGTATTTTACAATGGCAAACAGTGACAGAACATGCTTTATGCCTCTGATCAGTTTGCTATTCCTGTTGCAGTCATCTTTCTGAAAGCCCTGAAGAGGACAGTGCTGCTTTTGTCCTGTGCACTCTGCAGTTAACGGCCTCATTGTAGTCGTGCTCTGCGTGGCACTGGGTCTGTCTTAGCCAGTCACAAATGCTTCTTGCCTGATCTCCTGGCACTTGGTTCTCAGATAGTAGTAATTGGACTAACACTCATAAAAATGGAGATCTTGTGCAGAGTTCACAGTAAGTAGATGGTACTCTTGAAATCTTAGCTCTAGTTGCTCTGCAGTTACAATGCCTCTAAATGTCTTGGGAATAGTGAAGCTGTAATTCTTCTTTCAGTTGCAGTCATTGCAGTCAGAGCTGCAGTTCAAAGATGCAGAAATGAATGAATTAAGAACACGACTCCAGAACTGTGAAAGAAGCAAACAAGTTCCAACAACAAGGTAGGGGTCTTGGAAATGAGTTTATGTTCTTTTTTACAATGTGTGCGCTTAAATTATTTAAAGAGATTTTCTTTCCTCATGTGACTCTTAGCTCTGTTGTCTGTGAAAAATATGACCCAAAGGGTCTGTTGGCCTCTGGAATTTGCTCAAAAAGAACCTTCCTTATATTTATGACAGAAATGCAAGGACTTTATAGTGAAGTACCTCTAAACATCAGGGTAAATAAAATAGACTCTTGTTTATTGTTTATTAAAACAATTGCAAAAGAGATAGTGATTCATACCCTTTCATACCCTACTGAGTGTAGGAAAGCTCCCCAGAGAGACCTGGACCCACTTGATCAATGGTGCTGGGGGATATGGTTTAGGGGTTAGAGGTTACAACAGTGACAGATTAGTGGTTGGACTTGATGATCTTAGAGATCTCCAACCTTGATGATTCTGTGATCTTTTTATATTAGCCCTAAAAAGAATTTTGCTGTACAAGTGAAATCAGAAGAATGTTCATCACAGCCTGGAAGAAGATCTTTTCCTACAAAGGAATCCTTCAGTGCTGAGATGTCCACTAGACCATCATGTTCTTCAGGAAATATGCTGGCCCCGACTACGTCGACCAAAGAAGGTAAAACCCGTGTACAGCTTGCAGTGTTTTTAGCTGCATGTGAACACTGCCTTGGAGAAGGATTTTTGTACTCTGTGACTAAACAGTCGCTGTAAGTTCACTTTAGAGAACAACAGTTATTTATTTTGGTTTTGCTTACATTTCATTCCATTTGATACCAGTTGGCATTAAGTAGCCATGACTGAAATCTGCATCAAGACCTTTTGAATTCACACCTTGGTACCACATGCCAAGGTGCCAGTGATGAAGTGGCCATTGGCTGTATTAAAAAACTTTTCGTTTATTATGTGATGAACTAAAATACCCAAATTGTTGTTCTGCCTTTTCACATTGAATAAGGAAGAACAGGAAGTAATTTGCCTGTTTCTTGAATCAATCTGCCAATCAGCTCATGCATTTTTTTGATTCTTGGGGGTTTGGCTTTAAAGCTGACCTTTAGGGGATTGAGTTTTAAAGGATATATATTTAGCCATACTGAAAGAAGCAACTGAAAACAATATACTCAGTTCCTCTTTTATGTGTAGGGCACTAGTTCTCACAAAATTGCATCTTGAAATTCATTGAGTAAAAGTTAGCACAGGAGTATCTACATGTATTTGAAGATTGCTATAATATGAAAAAAATAGGTGTTTCTTTAACAGCAGCTGTCTGCCATATTTCCAACAGGGAATAAGTGGAAGAAATTTGGATATCAACTAATCCTTACAGGGAAAGTCATGAAAAATCTGAGATGTTCCTGTCAGTTACAGTGTTCAGTCTAAAACTGTATGGGCAGTAAGAACTCCACCAAAAAGAGGAATACACTAGCCTTAAAGCATTAGTATCGCTCCTGTCTGTTATGGTAACAACACTTAGTGTGACTGTTTGTTTGAAAAAACACACTTACTTCTTTCTGAACCCTGCAAAGCTTTTGGCTCCAGTTTGACTGGTAATTGTGACATGCAGAGATGATTGAAAGATTATGAAATGCTCAAATTATTTCTTCCATATAATTTTTTAGAATTTAATGCTAATTTTTAGCAAAGTTGATCTGCCAGTAGTGGAAATTCAACTGAAGGAATTGGTTTTGTTTCCAAAAGGAAATTTGAGAGCAACAGCACTGAAAAGTCTGTGGAACATCTGATGGTAAAGGTGAAATCGTTTTCACTTCTCTCATTTATTCTGGGGAGCAGTTCTGCTCGCACCACACCTCTTCACTGTTGGTTTTTGACTGGTGTCCTGTTTGCTTCCTTACTATCTAACACTGTGGCTGTGTGTAAAGGATGGGCACAGATCTATCAGCAGTGCAGTTCTCATGATCACTGTTTGTTTCAGACAGTAAGATAATCCATCCTGAAGTTTCGTCCCTGAAGCATGAAACAAGGGGCAAAAACGCTTCCTACCGCACTGTGCCTAAAGGAAACACACAAGGTAACTGAGCTCTGGTGGTGTGGCAGTAGTGTTTCTGAGGCTGCAGGAACCACTTTGGAGGGCTCAGCAGCAGTGTGGGCAGCTCAAATCCCAGTTTGAAGTGAGAAGATTCCACTTCGAGGCTGCAGGAACACACTTTGCAGGGATCAGGAACAGTCTGGGGAGATGAAATCCAGGCCTGGGGGGAGAACATCCCAGTTTAAGGCTGCAGGAACAGACTTTGCATGGATCAGCAGCAGTGTGGGGAGATGAAATCCAGGTTTAGGGGGAGAAGATGCTAGTTTGAGCTGCTGGAACACACTTTGCAGGCCTTGGCAGCATTTTTGAGGAATGAAATCCAGTTTCAGAGGCAGAGGAGAGCAGTTTGAGGCTGCAGGAACCACTTTGGAGGGCTCAGCAGCAGTGTGGGGAGATGAAATCCCAGTTTGGAGTGAGAAGATTCCACTTTGAGGCTGCAGGAACACACTTTGCGGGGATCAGGAGCAGTCTGGGGAGAACATCCCGTTTTGAGGATGTTACTGATGTTGCTTGAGTGCCTTTGCTGGGGAAGTAGCCTGCTATGCCCAGTGCTGGTCAGCTCAGTGCTTTTTGCTTTGAACCCTGATCTTGCAGTACAATATTTCAGATGATACTGTTTTGTATCCTAACAACATTCCTATGTTATTCTAGTGAAGAAAAAAATTTGCCTGGGTTTTGCTTTATGGATCAAGAGGCATCTCAAGGTTCTTTCAGTAGTAATAGGTTATGCTTTTTATTGTAAACTGATACAAAACCAGGAAAAATGTACTTTAAAAACAATCACCAGCTAACAGTAAAGTAACATTTACAACAGTCAGCTCCAGGAAGTCTTCAGGGAACTATCTTTGTTACAGTTCAGAGTAGAACTGAGTCACATCGTTTTAATGTCTGGGCTGGAACATGCAGGGCAAGTCATTGGGACAGATGGGGTATGTGATCATGTGGCTCAAGCTGTTTGACTCATATGGGATTGGAATTAAAATACCTCTAAATAGAATTTGGTTTATATTTAGATAATACCTTAAATTATTTTTTCTGAAAATTGTCCTCTTGTTGAGAGATATTTGTAATGCAAACATCATTTTTGGGTTGAGATCACTCTAAATAAGGCTGATCTTTGAAATACTTTTTGTTGATGATGGTAAAGCTACTCCAAAGACAGCTGTGTATCCTTTCAGGTTCTATCTTACTGAATGCACTGATGAAGCAGCCCATTGTCCCTGGGTCATTACTAGGACTCTGCCATCTTCTTTGTAGCAGCTCTGAGCCTCTGCCTGGAGCTGCGTTGCATCCTAACTCTTTGGATACGTAAGTTTTATTTCCTTTGTTAAACTGTATCTGACATGTCTTTAGTACAAGACAGCTCATTCCCTGTGCCAAGTGCTGCTTAGCTCAGGTTGTTTTATGCGAAATTTGGAACATCATTCCACATCTGTGATTATTAATGTTTGATTATCCTAGATACAAACAGTGGACTAAGGTAAACCAGGTTAATTATCTATTGGGGAAGGCACAGAATCAAAGCTGGGAGTAGCTGTCAGCAGTTTGCATTGCAAGGAGGGAAGCACACAAACATGTTCATGAGTTAAGTGGGAAGAAAATGTTGGAAATGTGATTAAAACGGGGATTTCTAGCTTCAGAGTCGAAGCTATGTTCAGTTTGTAATGTACAAGTTATGTGCAGTTTTCCAAGATACATTTATAGTCCCTGATAAAGCATGTCAATATGAATATTGGATATAAATGATAATTGGTTTTCACTTTAAAGAACTAGACTGTAACTCCTGAAATAGTTTTGCTTTTTTGAGATGTTGTTTTATTAGTAATTCTGTGTTTTGTGGGTGCAAAGCTCATGTCTCATTGCTCCTGCCATTGATGTGAGCAGAGGTGGTGAGTTTGGCCTTTGCAGCTGCAGTTTGCCTCCTCAGTGGCTGAACTTTCATCTCTGGCCGAGAAAATAATCTTTTTTTGTTGTCGTAGTCCTTTAAAGACTCCTAAATATTACAGATCAGTAGTGTACACATACTTGTTCTTCCCAGAAGCTACTTGATAGCATCAGGGAAGATAAGAATATGTGACAGGTTATCAAAACCCTCAAAGCCAGAAATTGAATTGGAAAGCCTGTGCTTGACAATGGCTGGTGGTGAGCTGCTGAAGTTACTCAGCTGTGAGCTATGACTACTTTCACAAGACCTAGGAATGCTTTCAAATTACTCTTTCATGCAGGTATCAAGGAGTGGGATGATGTTTTCTCTCCAATTTACATTTTATTCTGGGAATAGGCATTTCTTACTAATCTGGCCTGTCTATTGTTTGATTCAGCATGCAGATAACTCAGATTTCAGCTCTGTTCTCTGCCTTTTCTTCTGAAGCATTTCCCTTTCACTTTTCTTTGGATAGGAAGTCCACACAACTACCCACCGGCAGGACAACTCAGGAAGAAATTGCTCCTCCTGTATCCCTGCAAGAAGCTCAAAAACTTGCAGTAACAGGGTTGAACCTGATTGCTATGGATGAAGAATTATCTAAAGGAAGCCCAGCAGAAAGCCAGAGAGTGTTTCTGCCCCTCACACAGTGCAAGATCCGAGGTGCTGTGCACCTCCTGCCCTTGGTGGAACACCACATTGGTGCCTACTGCCGAGTGGGACAATTGTTGGACACATCAGGGAATGGTTCTTGTGGAAACCATTCAGCTGTTTCTTCCAGAACCAACACAAATATGGTGTCAGCTAAGGAGGACTTCAGGTTGTCTCTTGAGGAAACTACAGTTCTATCACTGGGAATTCTTTACTATTTGGTGTTCTATAGCTGGGATGTTAGGCACACATTGCTGTCTGCTGAAGTGGAAAGAAGTTCTGCTGCTGGAGATGAACAGGCTGCCAAGATGGACAAAAATGTGTTGTGTGATAATAAAGAAGATAGCAGGACACAAGGAGGGCTGCCTGCAGCTCCCCAGGTTGCTCCCAGTAGTGATCGAGCTCAACATCCTTTGTTTAAAAAGCTGCTTCAGGTTTTAGCTTTTTCTGCTGCAAGAGGCTCCCAGACTGACAGTATCCTGAGCCAGAGCCTGAAGGTTTTGGTGAAATTAGCTGAAAATTCAACAACAGACTTGCTCATGAAGTAAGTCAGTAATAGCTTTAAAATGATTCCAGACTCTGGTGTTTAGCTGTTATCATTGTCTGTTGCAACTAGTCCATGCAGGTGACAGTAGAAGTTGTGCCATATATGAGGGAAATCACATGTCTCAGATCACCTCTGAGAAGCAGTTGAGGATCTTTCTATTGCCTTCGTTGCCCATGAGTGTGACAGTCACTGCACAGCCGTCCTTTGAAAGTGAGGCAGCTTTTAAGGCCTCAATGCAGTTGATCAGAATATGTGTAACATTCATTTTGGGGTTTTTGTAATTGCTGGGAGATGCATAAAGGAAGGAAAGCTCAGGGTCTCATCCTGGCAGATAAAATGACACTCAAATTGAGGCATTTTGGCTGCTAATGGTCTAATACACACACCATAGTGTGAACTGCAGTGTGACTACCAAGCATAATAACATTGTTCAGTATACTTTTTGTTTTTGACACAAAAGTTGAGATCAGGTATGTTCTGAATAGCTAAAAAGGCACAAGTGATGGTGCTGTGTACAAGAAATGGTGTGTTTTCAACTTGTCAGTGCATTGCCCATTTCTGACTGAGTTTTCTTTTGCAGTTTTCAGCACTTACTGAGTAGCCAGGCACTGCTGCACTGTCTGTGTCCAGAGACCCCTCTGCCTGCTGTCCTTCTGACTGTGAGGCTCTTGTCTGCTCTTGCTCAGCACCACGGGTTGGTTGCTCAGCTCTGTTCTCATTCAGGTAAAAGACAGAGAACTGTAAATTCACTGTGAATTCATCAGTTGAATGTTAATTACCATGACTAAAAAATAATGCAAACAGGCCTTGCTCCCAAGTGCTAAGACCCCCAAAGGCAAAAGCCTGCTGATAACTGAAAGCTTGTTTTCTAGTGCACTGTTTCAGTTATTATTTGAAGAATATTTACCTTGTGTTATCAGTCTGCTCTCAGGGCTTTTGATACCCATGTGGATTTTTAAACTTTCAGGATTAATATTTTTTATATTTAAGGTTAGTGAGGAGAGATAAAAAGGGCTTTTGAGGCTTAATTTATTTGTGCTCATGAAACTGTTCTGTTTAGGGATTCCAGTACTTTGCATGACAAGTGGTGTTTGTCCAGTTCCTTAAGAATGATGTAGAACAGGCCTACATAAAGTTTAGGGATACTAATTTCCTCAGCACAGTTTAAGATGTCTGAAGTAAATCACGAAGTTGAGCCTGTATCACGAGTCCTAGGATAGCACTCAAAATGTTTTGTGTGACAGAATCCATTTTTGTCATAAACAATTGAGTAGTTGGGAAAAGAACACAGTTCTCTCTGTTTCAGACACCTGCCTTCTCCTTGCACTGTACATGTATATAACATCAAGACCAGATAAATCAGCATCTGAAATGCTTTGGCTTCAGCTGGAGCAAGAGGTACCCACAGCTGTTTGTCCGTGTGCTCTTTCCTGCTCTTTCCAGTTGGGGGAGTTAGAGGAGTAGGACAAATTGCCTGAAAACAAGTTCTTTCTCTAGCTGAAATAGAAAACTGCAAGTATGGGCTTGCAGTAAAGGATTATACATCAGTTTTTAAAAGGAGCTGCTTGAAACTGAATCAGTAACTTCTTAAGGAGAACAACAGTCATAATAGTCTTTTAGGTCGCTGAAAAGAAAAAGGTCCTAGGATGGCTACAGATGTTCAACACTAAGCTTTATTTTGTTTTTAGATCATTGGAGGAATAAAAAGAAGCAAGAGCTATGTTTCATTTTGATGGTATTAATTACCTCTACTATACCTAAAAGGCAGTGTGTAGCAATTTGGGATTATAATCCTTGTATTCAGTGGAAATGCTAATTTGCTCTCTAACAGCCATGATTATATATAGAGAGAATGGCTTTTGAAATTCATTGGGATTATTTGTACTAGAAGAAGTTACTTCTTTGAGGTTCTATTTGTTCTGCTTCTCTCATCTGAAAGAATTTTGAACCTTTTTCACTATCCCTGCATTGTTATATTCATTATTTGTATGCAGTGAATTTAAGGCCCATGGACCTGCTCAGCCTTGCTCAGCAGAAAGCTGGAAAAGTTTCTGTGCAAGGCAAATTCTATGTCTGTAAAGTTCTACAGGGGAAAAAAGTTCTACAATTTTGTGGAGATCAGCCATTAAGAAAAGAAAACCTAAGAACATTTGGAACTAGTAACGAAATGCCATTTCTACCTTCCTGTGTTTCTAATTGTGTGACAATGCTGCAGAACCCTAGTACTCAGTCTAATGCACTCTGTGTGTTTGCAACAGGCAGTCAGACTCCTGACACGGTGCATGAGGTGCTCCAGACCAGCAGTTCTGTTACCTGGCACAGACTGCCAGTGCAACCTCGAGGTATGTCACTACAGTCCCTGAGTTCATCTCCTGATTGCTCCAAGGTACTCAATGCTGAACTAGCTTCTTGCCCATTTTTTTTAGCAACAGTGAAACAGAAGTGTCCTGTACTCAGAGGATGCCACCTTGGGTTTGCTAGAAAATATTCCGGAAGTTGAAAGTTTGAAGAGATTAATCAATAAAGTTCATAATGAAATAAGTCTTCTGCTACCATATTTTTATTCCGTGTATTGAGGCACTGTTTTTCCTTCTGCAGGTCGTTAAGGCACTAATTATAATGTTACATAGACAGTGGCTGAAGCTTAGAAGATCTGAGAACAGCTTGTGTGCACATAAGGAACAAATTATTCAGTTTTTACGGGATGCTGTTTTACTCTTACACAGCCTATCCCAGAAAGATAAACTGTTCCATGACCACTGCTTGGAAGTTCTCCATCAGTATGACCAAGCCATGCCAGGCATAAGAGCCATTCTCAAAAAGACTCAAAAACTGAGTGCCTGTGAAGGTAAAAATCAGTCATGTTGGCTTTTTCTCCTTGCTGTAGAAATAGAAATTTCACTTCTGTCCCTTGTCTCATTTAACAAGTACCACAGGTGATTGTTGCTCAGGTTCCTGAAGGCAGTCCATAGTCTTTTGCTTCTCAGTCTTCATTATACTGAATCACTACTCTGCCATTCTTCTTTAATGTGTATCTTGTTCTTCTCTCCCTTGAAATATGCCTCTGCTATCTGATCAGACAAAATGCAACACTCAGCTCTCTTCAGCAGAGCAGCCTGCACTATAGGTTACCTTACTGAGAACCCCCAAGTCATTATTCCACTCCTCCAACTAGCATTACACCTACTTTCAGCTATTGTTGGTTTGTTATTTTGCCCTGCATCCTTAACATTTCTTCTTCCTCTTCTTTTTTCTACCCCCCATTACCCCAAAAGCCTCTGTAGCCCACATCCCTCAGGATTCACCCCTTGCTTTGTACCCTTCTAGTGGCCTCTCCTCCCTGTACCGAGGCCGTTTCTTTGTTCTCTTCATGGCATTGTTTACACACATGTTCTAGAGCTGATGTGAAAGTTGTGCTTTTGTCAGTATGTGTGTGTATCCATGCCACCACTGTTAACAGCAGCTTTTCTGGAGATGCTCAACAGTGAGTCATGTACTTGTTCTATCCTGAGTGCTTCGCGTGTCCCAGGGTTTTCTAGAATTTTGCCTAACACCCTGTCTATTTATGCCTGGGAATGGGCCAATCCAGTGGAACAGCTCATGATGTTCTAAACCACTTTGGTCCTATTGACTCTTTAAATTAATTAACAAAAATAAGGTTTTAAACTTAAGTACTCAGAACTTGTTGCAAAATAACAAAGTGCCCTTTTCTGTTTTTATATCTCATAGCTAAATTTAATTCACCACCCAAGATAGCTCTCTCCTTTAATGCCTAAAAAAGGCATTAAATAAAAGAGGGTGAGAAGTTTGTGTGACACAACATGTAGCTAAAGGCCTGTTTGCATGGAACCTTTAGTCTTCCAGAGTCAGTATGTTGTAAGATGCAATACCACCTACAATTATACTGTATCAAGTAGAAAAAACGACTCTCTGAAACATGATTACTTCTTGTTGCAGAGCTGATTTTGGATGAATTGTATCCTCCTGAGCCAGAAGACCAAGGAATGGACTCCAGTTAGCCACCATCTACCAAAGATCTCTGTCCTTCCTCGTCTGAATCATCGTAATCATTGCCAGTGTAAATCTGAACCTTAAATCATCTTTTTATTAAGTGATAACCTAAAGGTTGCACTCAGATGCAGCACAACTAGGACACGTTTCTTTGTTGTAATTATTTAAGTGCCATCTAAATGTGGGTGAAAGCAAAGAAATTTTGACAGGACAATGATACTGCAATGTACTGTTTTGCTGTGCAGACCCACTCAGTGGCTTATGACTGGTTCTGGTTATGAATTTCATCCTGTATGAAACTGCTGTGAATGGAATGCAAATTTCACTCTGTTTTCCATTTAACTGTGACTGCAGCAGAATTTATGATGCTGAATTGAATGTGCTAAGGTGTTTGGGATCACTGCGTTCACATGAAAGTCTTTTGAACACACTTGTTTCTTTCGTGGCTGTAACACTTCCTTGCTTGACTTCCAACCTTTTCATGCTAATATTAGTAAACAGTTTACTGTGTTTTTAAAAGCCTTTCTAGAAATAACTTACAGTTGGCAGTTCACTACAGGGCTTTGAATTTCTTGCTGTGAATTGGTCACCTGAGTTCACTCAATTCATGAATCTGCTGGAAGAGTAACTATTGAAATGCCAAACCAAAAAATACTAGAACTTAACTCTTTTAAGGTAAATTTTAAAAATACAAGATGGTAATACTGAGGATTGTGTCCTAGGGGCCTTAAGAGTATTAAATGTATGGAGATTGACTGGGGTTTTGTGGTCATAGAGAGGATGAATGAGTATCCACTCCTAGGAACCAGCACTGAAGGTCAGAGGAAGAGCTGTGTCTGCACCCTTTCAAGTGTGCATGGTCATCACTGTCACACTGGGCTGCAGGTTAGCAACTGAGCCTGAGACCCTAACAAGGGAAGTGTGAGTGCTACTAAAATGAGCCCCCAGGCTTGTATGGATAAATGGGAGAGGTTTCTTCATTTTTCAACAGGTACTTGATTCAGAAAGAGCCTGGCTGCAGGGACCAGGAGGAGAGAACATACTGCAGTGGGAAGGAAGCCCTGGGAAAATTGGGAAACATTCACTTCTCTGGTCATGCCCAAAAAGGTTGTGTCCTGCCCTGGAGGAGCATAGAGCCCCACTTTAGTGTGCTCAACAAGCTCCTGACTTGGCTTTTTCTGTGGAAAAGAGCTTTCCCAGGAGAAACTCTTACATATTTCCTATGCAGGAATAACCAGGGAAATAATCCAACATCTCCCAAGGGCCAAAGCTCCTTCCTCCCCAGCCCAGCCTGGGGTGAGCCTCCTCCACAGAGCAGCAGCTGGCAGGGCTCCAGCAGGCAGGGCCAGGTCCTTTCTGTGAAACACTCTGCCAACTGCTCCTCTCACCAACAGGTTTCAAGTGCCTTGTAGCATCTGGAAAACTGCCATTTTCCTATTTAAACGCAGCAAGGAAGGATGCACAGGCACATAACAGCAAAGCCTTCTGAGTCTGGGTGTACTTGCAGGGTCACAGTCCTGGAAGTGCCACCAGGGCCCTAGATATTGCATATTGCAGTAGTTTGTGTGACAAAAGAACCCGACAACATCAACAACGAAAAACCAAAGGAAAACCACCCAGAAAACACAGCATTTCCTAGTGTTTATGATTAAAGAGTTCGAGAATGTCAGATAAAAGCCCTTTCCTTCCTCAAAGCCAAATTAAGGTAATTATTTAAGAACAGCCCTATGAGCATGAGCTGTGGCAAAGCAGGACCTGACTGTAAGCCTGCTGTGAGTGGCAGCTTATCCTTTCAAGAATTTAATTGTGGTGTAAACTAAATAACAGTATAACAGAATCATAGAATGACAGCTCCAGCTGGTGTCTCTAAGGAGGGATGCTGAGCAAAGCAAGCCCTGAGCTTTTGCACCCTTCCAGTCTAAGGGCAGGAAAGACTGGGGGCAGTTGGCTCCTGCAAGGGGCCAGCAGTTCACAGCCTCTTGCCTGGGGCTGCTGCACCCACAGCTCACACTGCAGCTTGCACTGCAGCTGCACT